TGTCACATATTTAGTTTGATAAAGTTTGATCAAGTGTATAGGATCCTGTACCTTTAACCACAGTGAAAATACTGAAGTTTCATCACCATAAGGGTCCCTCAGGTTGCCCTTTAAGAACCCACCTCCTTCCACCTCCCCACCCTCATCTCTCACATCAGAAAAATGTTCACCTGTCCTTTTTAATACAATTTTGCCATTTCAAAATGTTATAAAATTGAATCATCCAATATACAATTTTGGGGATTGGATTAATTTTCCCTCAGTACAATTCCCTGGTAATTAAAACAAGCTATTATGCTTTTTATTTTTATAATGGCTTTACTGAGGTATAAGTCACATACCATGGAATGCACCTGTTTATATTGTGGCAAAAGACACATAACATAAAATTTACGATTTTAATCCTTTTTTTTTTTTTTAAACGGAGTCTTGCTCTGTCACCTAGGCTGGAGTACAGTGGCGTGATCTAGGCTCACTGCAACCTCCACCTCCCAGGTTCAAGCGATTCTTCTGCCTCAGCCTCCCAAGTAGCTGAGACTACAGGCACCCACCACCATGCCCGGCTAATTTTTGTTTAGTAGAGATGGGGTTTTACCATATTGGCCAGGCTGGTCCCGAACTCCTGACCTTGTGATCTGCCTGCCTCAGTCTCCCAAAGTGCTAGGATTACAGGCATGAGCCACCATGCCCAGCCCATTTTAATTCTTTTAAAGTATACCACAGTGGCATTAAGTACATTTGCAATGTTCTGCAACTATCAGCACTAATTCCAAGATACCTTTATCATCCCCAAAGGAAACCACCATTCATCAATCACTCCTATTCTCCCCTCCCCTGAGTCCCTGGCAACAACTGATCTGATTTCTGCCTCTATGGATTTGCTTGTTCTAGTTATTTCACATAAATGGACTCATATGATATGTAGCCTTCTATGCCTAACTTCTTTTCACTTAGCATAATGTGTTCTAGGTTCACTCACGTTATAGCAAGGATCAGTGTTTCATTCCTTTTTGTTGCTGAATAATATTCTATTACATGGATATATCACATTTATTTATCTTCCATCAGCTGATAGACATTGCAGTTATTTTGACATTTTTGCATTATGAGTAATGTTGCTACGGAGTGACTGTGTAGAAGTTATGTGAACATATGTTTTCAATTCTCAAGAGTATATACCTAGGAGTGGAAATTCTGGGTCATATGGTAATTCCATGTTTAATTTTCTGGGAAACTGGCAGACTGTTTTTCAAAATGGCTGCAACATTTTACATTCTCACCAGTAGTGTGCAAAGATTCCAACTTCTCCATATCTGGATTCATCCATACTTAGTATTGTCCCTGTCCTTTTTTATTATTGCCATCCTACTGACTTACTATCCTAGTGACTGTGAAGTAGTATCTCACTGTGGTTTTTATTTGCATTTCCCTAGTGTCTAATGATGTTGATCATCATGTGCTTATTGGCCATTTGCATATCTTTGAAGAAATGTCTATTCAAATATTTTAACCATCTTTTATTTGGGTTATCTTTTTATTGTTGAGTTGTACATGTTCTTTACATATTCTGGATACAAGTCCCCTATAAATATTAGTTATTTGTGGCTGGGCGTGGTGGCTCATGCCTGTAATTCCAGCACTGTGGGAGGCCGAGGTGGGTGGATCACCTGAGGTCAGGAGTTTGAGACCAGCCTGCCAACATGATGAAACCCTGTCTCTACTAAAAACAAAAAAATTAGCCAGGTGTGGTGGCGGAGGCCTGTAATCCTAGCTACTCAGGAGACTGAGGCAGGAGAATTGCTTGAACTTGGGAGGTGGATGTTGCAGTGAGCTAAGATCGTGCCACTGCACTCCAGTCTGGGCGAGAGAGTGAGACTTTGTCTCAAAAAAATCAAAAACCAAAAACCACAAAAACTAGTGATTTGCAAATTTGTTTTTTGAGGCATTAAAGTTTTTAATTTTGATAAAGTCCCATCTAGGTTTTTTTTGTTGTTGTTGTTGTTTGTGATTTTGGTGTCACATCCAAGAAACCATTGCCAAATATATAAGGTTAGGAAGATACAGTCCTACATTCTCTTCTGAGAAATTTAATTCTTTCATTAATTTTGCAGTAATTTTGATATAAGGTGTGAGGCAGGGGTCCACCTTAATTCTTTTACAGGTGGATACTAGTCATCCCAGAATCATTGATTGGAATGACTCTTCTTTCTACATTGAATTGTCTGACACTCATGCCAAAAATCAATGGACGAAAAATGTAAGGTATTATGCCTTTTTAATACCATGATGTCAACGGTATTAAAAGATAATGTCTTATATAAGTATAGGTGTTTAAGAAAGAAGAGTCTAAACCCTCTCGAGAGGATCAACCAGAGTTTTAGTTTATCACTAGCAAAGAGTTGTATGAGTGCATCTATATTTCCTAGGGTACACAGAATAAAATCAATGCTGTATTTAGGCTAATGAATATACAACTAATGTAACTGGCCAGTATCTATCTCTCTCTAGTTCTCTTACTTTACCATCTTATGCCGAGCTCCCTCTTGAAGAATGCCCCACCATTCTCCCAGTCACTCAGTCTCAAAACCTGGGAGCATGTTTCCTTTCGCATCCAGTTGCTATAAGCTGTCCATTTTCCTTCCACGTTACCTTTTTAATATTCTCCTCCTCATTCCTGTTGTCATGGTCTTGTCCTGCTTGTGGTCCTTGCTGCCACCTATATGGATTAGGCAGGTGCTTCCCAACCTGTCTCTTAACCCCCGTTCTTTCCTTTCTTCTAACCTCTCCTGCAGATTGCTGCTACAGCACTCTTTCTTATTAAATAGAGTTAATCATGTCACTCACCTAGCCAGGGAACTTTGGGGGTATCCCAGTGGCTCCTGTATGTTTCTTGGTACACACCTGTTGGGGTCTAAGAAGATCAAGATGCTGCTACAATGCCCCCCATCTGTCTTGGCTCCTGCCTGTTCCCCTCATGGAATCTGATAGTCCTTGAGACTCCCACTCATCTAAGTATGCTCATTTTTCAAAGTCAGACTGAAACTCCATGTCTTGTATGAAGGCTTCTTTTATTACCACAGTGTAAACAATTATTTTTCTTTTGCATTTAAAGTGGTTTATTTTTTGTCTTTTAGTTCTCATCACATTTACTATGTATTATAATAATTTGAGGAGATATTTTCTTTCTCCTGGAAGTTTCTTGAAGGCAAGAATCATATTTCTTATATACCTGTTGTATTTCTTACATACCCTATATACCTGTCAGAGCCCTTAGCTCAGAGACTTATGCATTACAGAAAATCAATATATGCTTGTTATGCCAAGTTGAGTTAATCAGCAGGCATTTATTCAGCCTTCATGGGGAAGGGACGTAAGACATAGAGGTAGGTCACAAACCAAAACATATATTGCTACAAAGTGTACAAGTAGGAAAGGAAGAACTTAGTGAAACTGTAAATTAGGAGAAGAACAATGAAGGAAAAGAGGGAGGGAGGAAGGAGAGATCTACACTAAGAAAGTTTAATGTGCCACCAGCTCAGCATCCCCGGACACACTAGGTCTTATTTGCTCTCATGCATTCCCCAACTGACTATCAAATGAAAGGCCATTTGGTATTCCCACTTTCCCATGCCTATTCATCACTGAAACCTGAGGGGACAAGGGTTTATAACTGGGTATAGAGTAAGGAACAAGACACTGGCCCGGGGACGCAGGTTTTGGTGGTGCCATGGGTAATTTAGTGGGCCACAGCTTCCCCTGGGCTACCAACGGGCATGTTGGCCCAAACAAGAGTCATCACAGGCTTTCAGAGGCAGGGTTCCTGGAGGGAGTAAGCCTATAAACCCTGAGACTCCACTCCACGGAATGGATTAGCATCCCTCCGGTGCATGGTGAGTGGTATGAGTCATCAGCAGTCTAAGGAGAATGTGAAGACAGTCGCTCAGGTAGTCTTCAGGTTCTGTAGTTCCAGAAAGTGTAATGAACTGGGTGAGGTGAGGGTAAACCACTAGTATAATAGGCCTAGTGGCAGAACAGGAAACACAGTGTTGAATCATCCTTAGGTGATTCGCTTCTGAATCAGGGTTTCACATTCTAAGCTGACTGACTGGCTTGGAAACCAGTCCTGTCTAATGCAAAGACTTACAAAGCACTTGTTTTTGTGACATATGCATACATATTCTACCTGCTCTGACCCTACCAAATAAAAAACAAACTGCCTTGGCAAATGCATAAATACAAGGCTTTGCCTGTACTAATTTACATTACCACCAGAAGTGTATAAGAGTTCCCTTTTCACCATATCTGTTTCAACATCTATTGTTTTTAACTTGCAAAATAATGTCCATTCTTGAGGGGGTAAGTTGCTATCTCACTATGGTTTTAATTTGCATTTCCCTGATAATTAGTGATGCTGAGCTTTATTTTCATATGTCTTCTGGCCACTTGTAAATCGTCTTTTGAGAAATGTCTATTAATGTCATTTGCCTACTTTTTGATGGGATTTTCTCTTTTTTCCTTGCGGATCTGCTTGAATTCTTTGTAGATTCTAGATATTAGTCCTTTGTCAGATGCATAGCTTGCAAATATTTTCTTCCATTCTGTGAGTTGTCTGTTTACTCTGATGATTATTTCTGTTGCTCTGCAGAGGCTTCTTAATTAGGTACCATTTATTTATTTATGTCTTTGTTGTAATTGCTTTTGGGGTCTTAGTCATGAATTTTTTGCTTAGGCAATGTCCAGAAGAATTTTTCCTACATTATCTTCTAGAATTTTTATGGTTTCAGGTCTTAGATTTAAGTCTTTGATCCATCTTGAGTTGATTTTATATAAGGAGAGCTAGGGATCCAGTTTCATTCTTCTACATGTGGCTTTTCAGTTGTCCCGCCACCACGGATTAAATACGGTGTCTTTCCCCTAATTTACATTTTTATATGCTTTGTTGAAGATCCATTGGCTGTAAGTATTTGGCCTTATTTCTTGAGCTTTCTATTCTTTTCCAGTGTGTATCTACTTTTATATCAGCACCATGCTGTTTTGGTGACTACAGCCTTACAGTATAATTTGAAGTCAGGTAATGTAACACCTCCAGATTTATTCTTTTTGCTTAGGATTGCTTTGGCTATTCAGGCTTTTCTGGTGCCATATGAATGTAGGATGAGTTTTTTTAATTCTGTGAAAAATGATGTTGGTATTTTGACAGAAATTGCATGAAATCTGTAGGTTGCTTTGAAAAGCATCACCATTTTCATGATGTTGATTCTTCCAATCCATGAGCATGGAATGTGTTTCCATTTGTTTCTGTCATCTATGATTTCTTTCAGCAGTGTTTTGTGATTCTCTTTATCTTTCACCTCCTTGGTTAAGTATATTCCTAGGTATTTTATTTTTTGCAGTTATTGTAAGAAAGACTGAGTTCTTGATTTGATTCCCAACTTGTTGGTGTACAGCAGTGCTACTGATTTTTGTACATCGATTTTGTACTCTAAGACTCTGCTGAATTTGCTTATCAAATCTAGATGTCTTTTGGAAGAGTCTTTAGGGTTTTCTAGGTATACAATCATATCACTGGCAAACATTAATAGTTTGACTTCCTCTTTTCCAATCTGGGTGCCCTTTAATTCTTTCTGTTGCCTGATTGTTCTGGCTAGCACTTCCAGTACTATGTAGAATAGAAGCTGGTGATGGTGGGCATCCTTGTCTTGTTCCAGTTATCAAGGGAAATGCTTTCAGCTTTTCCACATTCAGTATGATGTTGGCTGTGAGTTTGTCATACATGGTTTTTATTACTGTGAGGTATGTCTCTTCTATGCCAGGTTTTCGGAGGGTTTTTATCATAAAGATGCTGGATTTTATCAAATGCTTTTCCTGCATCTATTTAGATGATCATATGATTTTTGTTTTTTTAAAATTTTATGTGATATATCACATTTATTAACTTGTATATGTTAAACCATCCCTTTAAAAAGTTTTTAAATAATCTCAAATTTACTAAAAAGTTCTAAATACAGTACAAATCAGTACAAACAATTCCCCCTGAATTATTTGAGGGTAACTTGCTGACCCCTTCATTCTCAAATGCTTTTGTGTGTTTTTTCTACAAATAAGGACTTTTTCCCACATAATCACTCTATAGCCATCAAGAGGAGGACATGAACACTGATCTTCCCTCTACCTAATTTTTCTGTCCACTCACATTTTATCCACTGCCCTAGTAATGCCAAAAAAAAGATAGTTCAGAATCAGGTTGCATTTTAGTTGTCATGTCTCTTAATACTCGGCAATCTGGAATGGTTCTTCAGTCTTTCCTTGACTTTCACAACCCTGACATTTTGGAAGGAAACAGGTCAGGTGTTCTGTAGAGTTTGAACCCTCATTTTGGGTTTGTCTGATATCTTCTAATTATTAGATTCAGGTGATAAATTATTGGTAAAATAACACAGACGTGATGCTGTGTGCTTTTTTTGTTGGCATTCTTTCCCATTTTTCTTAAGACGAGCTCTCTCTCTGCTGCCTAGGCTAGAGTATAGTGGCTATTCACAGGCGTGGTCGTTGTGCACTACAATCTCAAACTCCTGGGCTCCAGTGATCCTCTCACCTCAGCATCCTGAGTGGCTGGGACGATAGGCATGTATCCCGTGCTGGCTTCTAATTACATACTGTGAGTCTGTGAGTTGGCACATTATTTTGATTTGTCCCATTGGTGATGATGTTCACTTTTTAAAACTTGATTAAGGTGATATCTGTCAGGCTTCTCAACTATAAGTTACTTTTTCCTTTTGAAGTTAAAAAACATTGTGCGGGAGATACTGTGAAACCATCTAATAACCTATTCCTTACCAAATTTCCAATTCATTCATTTAAATTTATTTTTATTTTTCATTCATTATTATATCAGTATGACTCATGGATTCTTACTGAATGAGTTATACTCCATAACAATCCCTTATTTTTTTTTATTGCATTTTAGGTTTTGGGGCACATATGAAGAACATGCAAGATTGTTGCATAGGTACACACATGGCAGTGTGATTTGCTGCCTTCCTCCCCATCGCCTGTATCTGGCATCTCTCCCCATAGGTACACACATGGCAGTGTGATTTGCTGCCTTCCTCCCCATCGCCTGTATCTGGCATTTCTCCCCGTGCCTTCCTCCCCGTCGCCTGTATCTGGCATCTCTCCCCGTGCCTTCCTCCCCGTCGCCTGTATCTGGCATCTCTCCCCGTGCTCTCTCTCCCATTTTGATGCTTGGATTGTCCCAGATTTGGCTCGCTGGGGACTCTTTCAAGTTAGCTTCTGTGTCCTTCTTCTTTTTGATGTCCCTATCATTCTTTGAGAATGTTCTTACTGTCTAACAAAATTTCAAGGCGTATCTTGTATTTTCTCTCACCAAACCTGGAATCAGCCACTTTGCCAATTCCCTTCAGGAATTTAGAAGTTAATATCTGGCACTGGGTGTGCTCATTGCTACTGATGTATCACTGTCCTAGGGCGTCTAAGTAGACAGCTGGGAAGTGTGTGCACACATACACCCTCTCACACACATAAACACACACTGTCTTCTGTTTATTCATCCATCCATCTTGAAAATCATGAGTTTATACTACCCTAATTTTGATAAACATGACAGAAGTCATTTTACTTTTCTTCCTTTCAATATTTGTGACCCACAGGTCTCTCAAACTCAACATGTTTAAAACAAAACACAGCATCTCAGCTCTCTCCAACTCTGTTCCCTCTCTTGAATTTTCTGTCTCATTTAATGGTTCCACCATTCCGCTTGTTGCCCAAACCTTAGAATCCTTCTGGATCCCTCCCTTTTCTCCACCTCCCACATCCAATCTGCAGATTGCTAAGCTGAATTACCATTCTACCTCTTGGATATCTCCAGTTCTGCACCATGTCTTTATCCACCAGCTTGCCCTAATGGAGGATTCAGACTCTCTTGCTTCTCACACAGTCATTCAGAATCACTTCTGCAAGGGTTCTAGAATTTCTAATGGCTTTGTATCACATGTGGAATAAAATCCAAAGGCCTTATTATCATGGCTTTCTAGACCTCCTCATGATCAGAATCCCAACCCTACCCTTTCTACCTCTCCAACCTTCATGCATGTGATTGACAGAAATACTGGCCTCCTTGTCATTCCACAAACATACCAAGTACATCCCTTCTTGCATCCTCAAGTACCAGATCTCCCTGCTGGGATGCTCTCTCTGCACATTTGCATGGCATATTCGCCCATCTCCACTCGATTATGACCTTCTTGGTGAGGCTTTCCTTGAGTCTCATGTAAAAATAGCAACCCTCCTTCCTTGTCCCTTATCTTGCTTTATTTGAAGTTGTAACCACCATTAGTATTTTTTTTTGAGACGGAGTCCCACTATGTCGCCCAGGCTGGAGTGCAGTGGCGCGATCTCAGCTCACTGCAACCTCTGCTGCCTGAGTTTAAGTGATTCTCCTGCCTCAGCCTCCTGAGTAGCTAGGATTACAGTTGCGTGCCACCGTGTCTGGCTGATTTTTGTATTTTTAGTAGAGCTGGGGTTTCACCATGTTGGCCAGGCTGGTCTCGAACTCCTGACCTCAGGTGATCCACCCACCTTGGGCTCTCAAAGTGCTGGGATTATACACGTGAGCCACTGTGCATGGCCTTAATTTCTTACATTATATCTATTGGTCTGTGGCCATTCTCTCCCCAAATAATGACAGTTCCAATGGTGTATGGATTTTATGTTTTTTTTTTTTTGCTCTTATTTATTGCTGTATCCCTAACACCTAGAACAAGAATGGGGCAAGGAATAAGCTTGTATTTCATATATACACAAGTATATCTGTTGGATAAACTTTAAGAAGTGGAAGTGCTTGGTCAAAGAGCTGCGTGTAAAATTCACACAAACACATTTGTACACATGCGAAGGTGCTCTCTCTGGGGTGGTGATGATGTACTCTCCCTCCTCCTTTGGTTTATTTCCCCTTAGCCTCACCAAGCAAAGAAGCAAGTTACTAAATTACTAAAATTTCAGATTTCTGCAAAATTGGTAGGGGAAAAATAATCGTGTCTAGTTTATATTTTTTATCATGAGACATTGAACATATTTCCTTCTGTGAGCTATGTACTCATACCATTTGCCCATTTTTATACTGGCTTGTCCGTCTTCCCTACTAATTTCCATGGGTACCTCATGTACTAGAAAGAGTGCCTCTTTGTAATACAAATCACACATATATATTCTAAATTTGCCATTTAACTTGTAACTTTGTCATGTAGGCTTAATTAATTAGTATTTTCTTTTGGATCTATGGATGTTGAATCACAGAAAAAACTTCCACCTCAAGATACTTCTCCCACGATTTCTTCTAGAACTTTTACAATTTCAGTTTTTATGTTTAAATCTTTGATTCATTTGGAATCTATCTTGGTATAAGATTAAAGTATAGATCCAATTCATTTTTTTCCAGATGGCTAACCTACTGTCCTTACTCATTTATTGAATGGTTTATCTTTCTTTATTGATTTGAAATATATGTATTATTAACTAAATTCCTGTATATATTTGGGACTCTCTATTCCACTGTTCTATTACATTAAGGGGGAAAAAAATCCTTTAACTCAAAATTAACTTTTAAAAGTGGCTTTCATTAATTTCTCTTCCCATAGCTAGATGTTATTTATCCTATGGTGTTTTTATAAAGACTAGAGAAGGTAATTTCTGTCTGGGTCTGGTAGTTGGCCTTCACGTGCTTACCTCTCTGCTCCACGGTAAACGCATATCCAATTTGATTTCTTCAGCTTCGTGTCTTACAGATATTTCCACCTCAACAAGGCCATCACTAGAACTCTGGCCTTCCCCAGTCACTCCCCACCTCAATAACTACCACCTATCTTCCAGTCCAACAGCCTCACAGCTGGCCTTGGGTCCTACTTCCTACCATCCCACATTTGATTTTTAGCTAGCACTGTAAACCATATCTCTCAAACATACCCTGAATCTTTCTGCTTTTCATTATGAGCACTCTGGTCCAGGTTGTCAGTCTGACCTGGCTAGATTTCTGAAATGGCCTAACTTGTTTCCTGTTCCTACCCTTGTACCTCCACATTCCATTTGATGTGGAGCAGCCTAAGTGATCTTTTCAAGGCACAGATTGGATTGTATGTATCTCATGCTGAAAACCTTAAAGGTTTCTCACTGTCCTTAACAAAGTCTAAACTTCTGGCACCTTGCTCTTCTCTG